CAGATAACTGCGTCAATACTACAAGGAAGAATGATGGAAATGGTGGTGAGGCAATAAACACCAGACCGTTCAGTCTGGGTCAGGATGATGAAGTGCGTGTGTGCGTGTGTGCATGTATTATATATTATGTTAATAATAATAGATAATGATGCTTTAATATTTAACATATCTATCTATCTATCTGTCTGTCTATCTGTCTATCTGTCTGTCTATCTATCTATCTATCTATCTATCTGTCTATCTGTCTGTCTGTCTGTCTGTCTGTCACAACACAAAGAGAAAAGTTATTTTCATGTGTCAATTTTGGAAAGTAGGCTTTGTATAATATGAATTTATCACAAAAATGCCAGGTCACTGCCGGCATTTATCTGATACATCTGGCTGGCTGTGGCTCAGGTGGTAGAGTGAGGTGTCCTCCAGTCGCAAGGTTGACAGTTGGATCCCCCGCCCCTTTACAGTCGAAGTGTCCTTGGGCAAGACACTGAACCTACAGTTGCATGGAAGCTCTGTTGCCATTGGTGTATGAATGTATGTGTGAATGGAGGAATGAAAAACACATTATAAAGCACTTTGAGTACCACTAAGGTAGAAAGGTGCTATACAAGTGTAGACCATTACCATTTACATTTTAATCAAGCAGCAGCATGACATAATTAATAGTGCTGAGACTTGAGTAGAAACACTCAAAGTGTTACTCTTGCAGAGGAGCTCTCTACATAGTTCACTACATGTATAGGTTACAGTATACTGCATATTAACAGAGTCATCCTGGTGAGTTGGGAAAATCCCCAGGAGCCATCTTCAAGAAGCTATAGATTCCAAAATTGTATATGCAAACAATTAATGTAAGGATAAAGTGCATGGTGCAATTTTATCACTGCCATGATCAGTAAGAAAATACAAAGCATGTCAGGAAAGTTTCAGGACTGGTGTCACAAAAGATATATTTCTAACCCTGACTACAAGCTACGAGTTTTCCCCTTCAAAGTAATCGCCCTGGAGTATAGAACTGCGATCTCAGCTCTCTGCAGCCATTGAACTTTGTTCCATGTGCTTTTATATACATATCCTCTGTTTCATGTCGTCAAGCAAAGAGCACAGAGCAACGAACAAACCTGAAGTTTCTGGTCTGGTTGGGGAAAATTCCGTCAGAAGCACTGGGATTGGTGCAGCAAGTGTATGGAGATGAGACAATGTCACGCTCAGATGTTTTTTTAAAGGTACAAGAGTTTCCACATGAGGATGTGGAAGACACCCCCAGAAGCGGAAGGCAGATGGTGCGTTGTGATCGCCAGTTGACTGTTCGACTCATCTTAGATTTGGGCATGCGGAAAGTCTGCGCAAAGATGGTGTCGATACGACTGAATGATGACCAGAAGGATCGACTCATGCAAGTGAGTCAGGACATCCTCGAGCATCTTGAAACTGAACCAGACTTGCTAGGGAGAGTCATGGATCTTTGAGTATGACCCAGAGACCAAACGCCAGAGCCTTTAATGGAAGAGTTTGACATCGCCAAGGCCGACGAAAGCAAGACAGTTAAGTCCAAAGTCAAATTCACGTTGATCGCATTCTTCAATGTGAAGGGCATTGTCCACTGCAAGGTCTTGCCACAGGACCAGACGATTAACCAGCGCACTGTTCAGTGCGCGAGAAGAGGCGAGAGTTGTGGCAGGACAACAAATCGTGGCTGCTTCACCATGACAATGCGCCTGTTCACAATGCCCTGAGCATCCAGCATTTCCTGGCTGAGAAGAACATTGCCGTGCTGGAGCAACCTCCCTACTCACCCCATCTGGCTCCGTGTGATTTTTTTCCTCTTCCCCAAGCTCAAGGGGGTCATCAAGGGGACCCGTTTTGAAGATGTGGACGACATCAAGATGGCTGTGTCGATGGAGCTGTGGAGGATCCTGGAAGAATCCTTCCAGGAGTGCATGGCGGCTTGACAGAGAAGGCTGGGAAAGTGTGTTAGACTCCAGGAGATTACTCGAAGGGAAAAAATGTAGTTTGTAATTTGAATTTGAAATATAGAATAGAATAGAATGCTTTTATTGTCATCATACACAAGGTACAACAAAATTAAAATATATCTTTTGTGACACCAGTCCTGGGGCCTCATTCATCATCAGTGTGTACGCACAGATATGTGCGTAGGGAGTGCGTACAAACATTCCTACGCAAAGTATGGAATTTATCAACTTGTACGTATACTTAGGAATATGCGTAAATATACACACAACTATGACCATGCGTAAGCACATAATCTAGCAGTAGAATAGTGAAACTACAAATATAAAGCATTCAGGGATTTTGTCCACCCGCACATTCCCACGTGAGGTTGGAGACATGCGGCATTTCCCAGCCATCACTGAGCAGGATCTTGTCGGAAGTGTTGAATGCTGTAATTTCCCTGGCCCCAGCCTACATCCAGCTCCCTTACAGCCATCACCAATGAGCTGAAATCAAATGGGGACTGCACGCCATCACTGGATTCCCAAACATAATTGGAGCCATAGACTGTACCCACATCGCAATCAAAGCAGCATCACTAAAAAAATGTGATTATGTAAATAGAAAAGGGTTTCAGTCGATCACGTACAAACAATTTGCGATGCACATTTGTCGCTGACCTTAATTTCAGTTTCAGAAAAGTTCCTCTTTTTCGCTCTTTTTGTCATAATGATGACGACAAGTGAGGAAAAAATAAATCTTTACTTGCTTTATAAAAAGGCATGTTGTTACCATATATGGTTATTTGGAGGCGTTTCTGAAGGTAAAGTGCACGAGCACAGTGTTTAAGAACAAGTGGGATTTATCAACACTGATGATTTACTGGTGTGCGTATAACCCACAGACACACGTTTGATGAATATAGATTTTTTTGTGCTTACGTACACTCTAAATTTCGTTCATATGACAGAATTTAGAACATTTTCTATGCACTGATGATAAATGAGGCCCCTGGAACTTTTCTGACACACCTCATACAAACCATCACCTGCTGCTGAGAGACAAATGGTCAGGATGGTAGGATTTAACCAAGGTTTGCTGGTCACCACATCAACAAAGTAAAAGCCTCCTGGAAGCAAGTTCTGTGGTCAGATGAAACAAAAAAATATTTAGCCTCAATGTCCCGAAATATGTATAGAGGAGAAAAGATGAGTCGTTTAGCACCATAAACCCCATACCTACCGTCAAGCATGGCGGTGGTAGTATTATGCTCTGGGACTGTTGATGCTTTACACAAAGTAAATGGAATAATAAAGATCCATCGATGCACTTATCACGGGGCCCACTTATCACAAAATTGGTGCAATCGCACTTTAAGTTACATCAAGAAAGTTTAAACACTTGGCGCTTGGTCAGTATGCCAATGAACCATCCAAATCGTCAGCTCAATCACAGTCGTCTCATTTATGGGAAATATGTCCACTTAAAATAAAGTGAAGTATTCAATAAATGATTCCAAAAAACAGATCACCCAGCAACTTCTTGTCAGGCAATATGTAAAAACCAGAACAAGTTGTCTGAGAAAATCAAATCCTCAGAAACTTTGGGGTCAGTTTTTTTTTTTTTTGATCTCAGCCTTAAGAGTGACTTGGTTAAGGAGTTATATCCAACTTTCCTCCAACTACTTTGTAAATACAGCAACCTGCCTTGACTTTAGGTTTTTTGTCATTCACATAGAGTTTTATCACAAGGCAAGATGAAAATGCCACAGGGACGTTTTGTTTTATTCATCACTAGGCATAAAATAGTCCATAATCCATAAAAGTTTTTAGTCTTTGGCTTTCATGGTGGACCACACTTTTGTTTCTGATGTTTGGATTTTTGTTTTCCATAGACTTCTGCTCCATCTTGAAGATCACTGATCAGTCCAACCAGAACATCACCTGCAACATCTTCCGTGAGAAGCTGGAGGACCATCCCAAAATCTTTCAAATCGGAGACATCGTCCGTATGCATAGAGTTAAGGTCTGGTCTTTAAAAAAATAAAAAAATTCAAGTAGCTTTTACTTGTTATTTGCTACGTGTTAATTTGTAAATCTCGATCACATCGTTCTTCACAGGCTCAAGTCTTCAAAGACACCATCTCGCTTGTCAACGCCTTTGGTTTTTCTGTGGTGACATTTGACGGGACAGTAGGTGGAGCTGTGGAACCACGAACATCTAGCAGCTATTTCCACTTTGACCAGGAGGACCGACAGAGAGTGGAGGAGCTGCGATCCTGGGCCTCAAGCCAGGCCCTCCTCCCCCCAGTCTCTGCTTCAATCCCCTTGTCTGCTGTGCAGCCCAGATCTTACTTTGACCTAACCTGTCAAGTGCTGGCCAAAGCCCCCATCGACTCCACCTGCATCCTGCTGAGGGTAAGAAACCTAAACAAAAGCTGTTTTCAAGTACAAATGCAGCTCACTGTAAATATACGATTTGGATTTATTTTCGAATGATCTGTTCTATAATTCAGGGGGCAATGAGTGAGATAGTTAAAAAATAAATAGATAAATACATAAGTGATATATATGTATCTCCGTATAGGTAACATAAAAGGAAGTGAGATGTGCTTCATATTGATATATATGGCATTTTGTAATTATAGAACACTGGTTACGCCTGGATTATGCTTTCTGTACGAACGTGACACGTGGAGGTGAGATGCGCTGAATTATCACAAGAGAACGCTTTTATACTCTGTGCAGCATCTGTTACCAAACTGTAGGGGGCAGTGGGTCACAAACACACGTATATCACAGAACTCAATTGGAGTAGAAGAAGTTTGGCATTGGTTACATCGCTTACAGCATATGACGATATTAGATCGCAAACGATTAGAATGTGTAGACGATCTGCCAAAGTGAGGAGATCGTATGGATCGTTTAGGTCACATTCTATAAATTGCAGTTCTATGCTGACACGCCGACGGACCAGACGTATTACGTCGTTAACCTGACCAACCAATCATTGCAAATTACGGGCAATGACACAGTTTCTTATCTGCCTCCATGGAGAGCCATGGCTGAAAGCCACATTGTCTATCCCAGATGTTCATTCCGCAAAACTTACAGCCAAGAGACTTTGCTGAACATCAGGGCAATAAACATTGCTAAAATTGCGGCGCTTGGTTGTGATTTGGACATACTACACCAACACAGAGTCTGATTGGAGACAATGCTGGCAGTTACCCGAGAGAGAAGGAAGCGCAAACGGTACGATCGTAAACAAAGGAGGAGGAAGACAGCCGGGATCCATGCTAGGCTAGGATTTGATTCGCTTTGCTTTGAAATGACAAAACACAATCAAAGGTAGTTTGCAAAGTTTGCAGAGACGGTTCACACGTCGGATGGCAACACGATGAGCATGTTCAATCACTGTACATACAGAATGGTTTGGTTGCACTGACCAGAAACTTGCAAATTAGTCTCAGAAATCCATGTAAGATCGTGATAAAGTTGAAATCGTGATATTATAATAAAGAAATTGTGATATGATATTTTTGCCATATTGCCCACCGCTACTCTATTGTTATTTGCGTTCTTAGTTTCATAATAATAAAAACTTTATTTATTATTATTATTATTATTATTATTATTATTATTATTATTATTAATAATAATAATAAACTAAGACAGGAAATAACAATAGAGGACACTAACAAGCAAACCCAAGTTCACCATATAATCATCTCTGCATCTGAGAGGCACTGTGTGCAAATATGTTGCCATCTATAAAGGCATTTGGAAAAACTGAATGTAGTGTATGTTGACTGTTCACAGAGCCGATGAACTGTGCATTATACCTTTTAACTGGCTGTAACTGCAGTGTTGTATGGTGAGCTGTCATTTTGCGATTTTTGTGTCTTCTTTTTCTGGACCTACTACAGCACTGTGAAACTGCAGGTTTTTAAACAAATTTGTGTCCTGTGGGTAAGTTGCCATCTACAGGCCACATAGACTCTGGAAGCGATAAAGTTACTAAGCAACTGTGAGTTGGTACTGGCAATTAAATGCCGACAGGGTGATCACGACGCCAAAGGGGAAGCCCTGTTTTTTTTTTGGATTACTGGTAGTCTAATATACAAAAAAACCAACACACATACACATAGACATTTTATGACCCATTTCTGTGTTAAAGGCCCACACACACTGTACGCGAAAAATATCAATAAAAGACTGGTCAGTTTTATCGTTGCAGTGTGAATCTACACACACACACACGACTCACATGCCTGGTGTAGCCATTTTCACTGATTGTAGCAGCAGTACAGTGATGCAGCAGCGGCTCTGTGAATGGTCTGTCTATATTACAGGTTCAGTGTATCCACACCACTCATTTCTGGTGTCTTCACACATGAGTGTCAACCATACAACCTTGCCTTACTGCCCACTTGAGACTCACAGTTGTATGACAACACACAAAAAGATATGTCACTTTTCATGACCCCCGATGATTTAACATCAGTTGCCACACATGCTTATGTAACAGTCACCACCCTCTGTATCTCACTCTTATGCAATAAGCCATATGGGCTGTATTTGAATCATATAACAATGTTCAGATTTCCTTAAACTATACTTTTTTACAAAGTAATTAGCATGCATGAGATCTGTCACTGTCACGGCAATGCATTAGAAAAACTCGACTGAAACATATCGAACATACGGACACAACTGGCCAAACAGCGAATAGAAACTATGTCCTTGCAGAGGACAAACTTTCATGTGTCGCCATGATGCTCAACAGAGGACAAAGGTGTTTCAGCGAGGACTTAAACTGTGGTTTTAAGTTTGTCCTTCATATGTGTTGACTCCAGGATTTAATTTGAATTGATTTCACATCACACACTAATGAAAACTAATGATAGACCTGAGGCTGAGGTTTACCTTTAGCGTGGGATGTTTCCTGCTAATCAACAACCAACCAGAAAATCCCTGTGTTCACATTGCTGCATCACAGTCACTAAGAAGCTTCCCTCTGGGATGTATACTGTCAGCTTATATCCATTTGTTCTTACCACCTTGTTTATATTACCCACCTGCTTTCTGGTGTTAATGTGACATGCTGTTTTGTCATGAAGCTGTATTGCTGTCTCGTTCCTCCACGTTCCTCCAATTCCTTCCCGCCTGTAATAACAATCTTTAACCTTCTTCCATTTGAATATTTTCGTAGTTAATTTTATGTTTGTCTTTGGAATAGTGGAGCTGTTTACTTTGTCTTCATGCGTCTTGTGGGCAACCTACTTGACAGTCTGGCGGTCTCAATGGGGGGCGGTCTCATGAGATTTACCTTGGTCTTGAGCAGCTTTACCTGCCACCTTAGTTTTCAGAACAGAAATGAGGCTGTAAGTAATGGCTGGTTTCTTGCCAGTGAGGCTGATAGAGGAGATAAATTTGAACAGGATTTGGCAGTGACCGCTGGTCTGCAGCCAGTCGGCTCTCACTGATTTTAAAGCTGCTCTGAGCCTGTTGTTACCCAGTGACACACACAACCAGGAAAGGGTGTTTTTCAAACCATAACAAGCGACTTGGTAATATTCATAGATATTGATATTGTACTGTGCCTCTCCTTAAACAGATCAAAACCTCAAAAGAAAGGCATTATTGATGCATCCTAATCAGATGTCTGAACCGTCTAAACCGGTGCTTTGTATTTGCAATTTGATGCTTTCACTTGCTACCCAAAGGTCTTGCGCAGAGCTTAGTGTTGAAAAGTACATTCTTGTCATTTGGCGCTGTAGTTACATCCCTTCGAGTTAAACTGTGGGTAAAAAATGTATATGTTGTTATTCTCTAATATCTCTAGTGCCGACAGCAGCTGTGTAATAGCTGTGGTACCGTAGGTAAACAAGTATCATCATGCAGTATTTTGGCATTGACATTGTACAGAAGTACTGGTTCTTGTGACATGCCTCATCTATACACCATTCTCCCCAACAACATTGTCCAGCTCCTTTTTGGGGGTTCAAAGACATTTTCAGGCTAGATGAGGGAAGTATTCACTCCAGTGTATTCAACGGCGACCCCATGGTCTCCCTCTAAGTTGGACATTTCCAGAAGACCTCCAATAGAAGGCCCCAAGAAGACGATATGAGGATATGCCTGAATCACTTCAACTTGCTCTACTCTAGGCAAAGGAGAGGCAGCTCTGATACAAGTTACTCAGTAAAATAAATAGTGAAAATAAGCGTCATTAACCATAAATGTCTTTTTAATGATTGACCAAACAAATCGTTTACAGTATAAAAAGAAAATCTGATAATTTGTTTCTATTCTGCTTAGTGGTGTCTTTTCAATCAAATGGTTGTTCAGATTTTTAGATGTCTCTAATATCTGCTCCCGTCCAGTTACTGTGTGTGTTTTGTATTCAGGAATCTGTTGAATACAACACAAACACATTGTTGAAATTTGTTGTGGCTGCAAAATGTCGCCATGTTCTTTTTTTTCCCCTAAAGAACTAGACAGACAATTTAATGAAATACCTGCATCACTATCAATCAATATCCATGTCCTGCTCGATCTGTATGACATATTTTTATGTTGTTGTTGTTTTTTTCAGGTGTGGGACGGGACCAGGTGTCCTCACCCTCTGTTGAAAGTAGTTGTAGAGCCAAATGTAACAGAAGGACCGTCCTCCTTCTCCAGGGAGAAAGAGAACCTCATCGCCAACATCCTTGTCTACGACAATCATGTGGATTGTGCCAGGCAACTGAAGGTCAGAACTCACCAACAAACATAAAATTCTGGAAATGAACTAGACTACTGAAAGCTAAAATTAGAATTATTGTGTTAAGTCATGATTATCTAACCGCCTTTCTGATGGATTCTGCATCAAAAATTGTATCACTAAACCTTATAAGTGACTAACGTACTCCTTCCAGACATGGCAGTACCAACGTTCATTTGTCGTTAACGTCTCTGAATACTGTGCATTGATAATTAGACCCTGACACTGTTTTAATTTTAGGTTCTGCTGCTTGAGCATGTCCATCACTATGGTGATGTTTTCTTTCTTTCTTTTTGGTATTAAGCTTTAACCTTGAAATACTTGCTTCTTATCAATGCATACATAAGAGCTGCTACTTGGGCAACAATTTTGACATACTTGTTTGCGTGCTTTGTGTTTATCTCAAAGATGTTGGTAACATCATGGTCAAGTCAATTAATGAAAATATCAGGTTTTGCATATCACAGTGAGATGAAGAATGAACAGATTTTGCATTTTCTCCTCCAAACTTTCCTCCATTATTTTTGTGGTTAGTTCAGTGTTATTTTTTTACTCTATGGCAATATAACATTAATGAGTCGAGACATTATGACCTGCCTAATATGGTGATGGCCCTTTACATGCCACCAAAACAGTGCTGACCTGCTGGGGCACAGTTTCTACCAGACCTCTGAGGGGTGTCCTGGTGTTTCTGGCAATGTTAGCAGCAGGTCCTTTATATTCTGAACGTTGCAAGTTGGAACAGTTAAAGATCAGCCCTTAACACTCTGGATCTAGCACAGTCACTCAGGCTTATATTCCTAATTTCTTCAGCATCCAACATAATGATTAAAGATAAAACACTTAATGAACATAACTAATTAAACTTGATTCATTCAATAACTGTCACTGAGCTTGTATTCTCTTTTGCAAGAAACACCTGAGAACAAACAAATACACTAAATCACAACAATAAGAATGTTTAACTCAAAGCAACAATTTAAAGAAACACTAATTATTGGAAATATATTTCCTGGAACGAAGACGATTCTGAGTACTCATGTTTCATTTTCTCTAGCAGAATGTGTCTGACCCCCTCTACCATTCAGGCAGATGCACATTTCAGTAGTAAGATGCTTGGTACGAGAAACCAATCTACCTCAGTTCTCAGTTGGTATTAGAAACTTTAATGTGATCTGGCTTTTGGCTCTGAGGTCAACTAAAGATGTCAAATATCTGAGAAGCTTACACAGTGTAGCTTTATAAATGTAGACACAGTTATGGTGAAGCTTCTAAATAGTGATGGCCATGCAACCTTTTCATAAAACTCGCAGAGGTGAAAACTGTAATGTAAAGAGTTGAATGACACTATAGCACATAGTGTTGAGTGGCAGCAGCATGAGCATGCAGTTATTCAGTTTTATTTCAATTCTATTCAATTTCATTTATACAGCGCAATTCAAATGTCATCTCACAGCGCCTAACGTAGTAAGGTGAAGCCCATACGAATTTTGAACAAAGAATCCAGCAATCCAAAGTTGCCCTTGGACTCCCTCTGAGCATGCGGTCGGCAGCATTGGGAAGGAACCAAACCCAAACCTCCTTAACTGGTTGGGATGAGAGTGGGGTATAGCAGGATAGCAGATGGAGAGCAAGCAATACAAACGGAACAATACGTATTTGGAGTTCCGATCACAGACGTGAAGCTCCAGATCCAGAGACATCTGCAGAGAGAACAAGCACAGGACCTCAGGGGAAACACAGAGTAGTGATATGTAATGGTGATATGTAACTGTATGTAAGAAAGGAGAGTAGAGGAGAGGAGCCCAGTGCATCATGGGAGTCCCCCGGCAGTCTAAAGCTATAGCAGCATAACTAAGGGACAGTTCAGGTGATCCCGAGCAGCTCTAACTACAAGCTTCATCAGATAGGAAAGTTTTAAGTTTAATCTTAAAAGATAGAGAGCGTGTCTGGCTCCCGAACCCAAACTGGGAGCTGATTCCACAACATAGGAGTCGTTTCCTTAATCCAGCGTGAACTGTATGTTTTTTCTGTTTTCAGAATAGCACCTCTGGCTCAGTATGACTACTTATTTTTGAGCAAGACATTTAACATTTGTCATCTTCATATGTGTCAGATCTTACACGTGACAGTGTTTTGGTTAAACTGTGTATATTCATGTTTAAGCACCCAACAATAATGGTTAACAGTAATGCTTAAATCTTATCCATTCCAAACAGAACTGGGAAATCAATAGTGAGAAAATAAGTCAAAATGCGGATTTTCATTTACATGCTTTATGCACATTCACACATTTTTTTTTATTCCTCAGGCTTAGAAGGCTCCATCAGCATGGTTCTTATATTTCAAGAACATTGATTCTACACAATTCATTCATATACGTATGCTAACTGAGGATTGAACACCTGTTGAAAACACTTTCATGTTTCGTGCCTTTTGATACAAGTAGTACCACTGAAATGCCAAATAAAGGCATATCTGAGCAGCCCAACTGAAATCATCTGCACACCGGAGCCAAATGCGAAATTCTGAATAATTTGGGTCCATACATGTAGCTGTCTTAGACTTACTGTGTGTAATATTTTTGTTTTTTTACAAATGCTTCAATAGTGGCGATGATATTTAGCTGTAAAAACATCAAAAAGAAAAGTTGTGTTGAGCCGAACTTGATGAAAAGTTCTTTTTGAAGTCAGATAATTGCGTTTGAATCTTTTTTGAATAAGAGTGAAAAGAAGACGGGATTCATTTACCGTTATCTGGCAGCTTTTGTTGTCAGTGACCTCAGTCTGTGCTGAAGGATTCAATCACTCAATAGAATTTGCACAAGGTAGGTGGAGGAGTGACAGTAAACTCGTTCTGTTGCCTCGCCCTTGATCTTGTACTATCAATAAATAGAATTCATTCACAGCTCTTAGTATCGTCAGAAATTTTACAAGACACAACGTAGCTTAGTTTAAGTTATGCTGCATTTCACATGTCTCACTGGGATACGCCATAGGTCTGTAAATATTGTTCTTATAAAAGCATCCCTCTCTGGTCATTGATGTAACCCCAGATGCCTCCTTTAGCGTGTGCAGCTCTATGAAGTCCTTGTTTCTCTTTCAAACCAAACCCCTTCCCACTTGCAGTTTGAACAAGCTAGTTCAGCTACGACACCTACCATCTCTGGTCTGAAGTAGAAAAACGGTAGAGAAATCCCCACCCCACACGTTTATAGGACTGGTTCTGTCGGTTTGTAATACATGAAACTCTGAAAGTCTGAATCTGTATTTTTGAGACTGTCATCGGTGTGCTGCAGTTTCAAGTTGGAAATACGGAGACTTGGTTTTGACTACTTGTTTCGCTCATGATATTTCCTCTAGGACAGGGGTCTCCAATCCTGGTCCTCGAGAGCCACAGTCCTGCATGTTTTAGATGTTTCCCTCTTCCAACACACCTGGTTCAAATGATCAGCTCATCATCAAGCTCTGCAGAAGCCTGATAATGATCCTGATCATTTGAATCAGATGTGTTGAAGGAGGAAAACATCTAAAACATGCAGGACTGTGGCTCTCGAGGACCAGGATTGGACACCCCTGCTCTAGGATAAAAAAAAAAAGTCATACCGACATGTCAACAATGCAAAAACGTGATTTTTACAGGGAGTGTCTTTAAAGTAATACAAAGTATTGAAACAGCACACAGCCTCAGTCAGGCTTTCTGAGTGAATTAAGAATAAAAACCCACTGCAGATTATAGATTAAGACAGACGGATTGTTGCAAATCTAAAACCCGCTGGCTGCCCACAGATGTTGCTCTGAAAGGAATCCGTGAGCAATGTAACAGTGTTCTGTCGGGATGATGGCGGCTCTCGCAGTCACAGGTTTATTTCTGTTATGATCTCAATATATAATACACTTTTGGGATGTTCTTCAGATTTTTATTTCTCATATTGTGCATAATAAGGTCCGCTGTGCTCAATTAACATAAACCAAATGATTAAAATGAAACTCACAAACTATCAGAATAGAGTTCAAAGGGCTAAATGTCAGCTTCGTCTGATTAGTCAAATACAAACCTCAGGCTGCCACAAACTGTGCACAGTTTTCTTCGCACAGTAATCAGCACTTGGTGACTCCAGTATTAGTGATACAAGGGAGAGACAGGCACTTGAGAGTTTTACTTCTTTTTCTGATTGAAACCCAGTGTTCATTGTTTTGGTGTCTTGTGTGCAATTTGAGTTCCTTTTGTGTGTGTCGAGGTGCCGCAGTCAAAATTTTAGTTATCTTGCTCAAATACAACATCTAGGACTGAGTTTCCAAAACGTGCAGTTCGTGATTTTATTGATTGAGCAGGTAAATTGTCTCAAAAAAATCGAGATGCTTTTTGTGTTGCTTTTGTCCAGTTTACCAACTTTGGTATCAAAACATATCGTCTTTGAAATTCGTACTGAAATTTTATCATAACTGCACTGGTGAGAAAAGGTGTTTAAATAATACCCAGGCCTATGGAGATTAAAGTTCCCACAGGCATTGATTAATCCTAGCTGCAAGATTTCTGTGCCATTTTTGAAGAGCAGTATCAATAAAATGTGACATGTGGCACAGCTGTATGACCTGTCATTTTTTAAATAACCTACGACTGTATTTTATGACATCAGAACAGAACAGTATTCATGGTAACGTAAAATATTTATTTACTTCTAATTTAATTCAGGATGTGAAAGGGTGTGGCAAGACTCTATACATTTCATACATTTTTATTGTTTTACTGAACACGTGTGGTAAAAAGAGTTGTCACACAAAATACTGCTACACAAACCGAGAGTGGCATATATTCTGATTCAGTAAAATATATCAAGTCAAATCCAGTTTATTGTCATTTTGCTGTACATACACAGTAGTACAGGCAAGATGAGAGAGCGTTTCTTCAGGATTATTCAACCAGCAAGTTTTGCAGAATGCACGTCTGGGATAAGACACTAAACGTTCACTGTCGCTGCCTCCTGA